TACAAATCAATATACATAAACACAATTAAGGAATAAATTTTGGAAACAGAGGGGTCCAATGCTTGTTCAATTGTAGACCTCTCAAATGATTCTTAGGAGTATATGAGTAATGTTGGACTATCCTTGTGTATCCTTATCTGTTTTTGCACCTGCTGGTATTTCGACCTCTAGATGGAGAGGAAAACTCATTTCTTCTCGCTTTCTATCTCTATGCAGGCTCTTCATATGATCTTTTCATCACATTCAAATATTAACTGTCACAGGGGATATCAGGGATTACAGGGTAAAAACAGTGTTTGTCAGGCTAAACCAATTATACTCTCCATTCATATGAACAGCTAATACCGGTAATGTTGTTTTTCACAATCGAATAGATGGTTATGAAGCAATTCTCCTTTTTCTGCAACTTTTATTTTGAAACATTTGGTGACCTTAAAAACTTTTTCACCAAGTAATGCATTAACCGCAGGATAATACAAAAGAAATTAACCTACACTGTGCCAGTAGAAAAGATGCTCTAAAATGTTTACATTAAATTTGAAAATTGAAAGCATAAATGGGAACATGTTTGGTACTTGCAAGGAGTTACCAGCACTTGGAAGTCTATTCATGTACATGTGCAGTGTACAGTGTAGGTCTTTTCTTATAAGAGCTTTCAATAAAATGTTGACCGGACCGGTATACCTTCAGTAGTCTACATGCCCATGAATTCATTCATTCATTTTCATATCCACCTGTTCCTAGTGTTTTTTATGATCTTGAATTATTGTTCAAAAATGAAAAGTAAATATGATGTTTTTAATAAAATATTTGTAAATCATGTATGCAATTCAGCCTTTGACTGCAATATGCTGATGAATAAATACCTTACCTTTACCCTGCACGTAGGCCTACAAGTATGTACCTGTCATTGAAATTGTGCAGAATATGAACTTTGAAATCGATACACAATATGAATGCATTTTTGTTTTGTTTCCATCAGATCATGTACTGTTCATGTACATGTATGAGACTACTCTAAGACACCAATAAACCCTGTACCAAAATCCTGTTTCAAAAGAAAATGTAAACAGTTGGAAAAGCTACTAAAAGGATCCAACAATTTTTATTGAACTAATATTGATGTTTTTTATTTTAACATGAGCCAAAGACTACAGAGATCTGTACACTACAGCTGTATATTATCATCTCAACTATACGTCATCAGCATTACATACCTCAGCCCTCTTCAATGACTTCTTTGCATGCATACTTTGAGATCAGGGGTGTTCTTTTGTTAGAATTGTCCTTCGTTCAATCAATTGAACAATAATCAATAGATAAACATGTTGCTGACATCACTGAGTGGCTACAATAGCACTAATACCAATGTCTGGTATTCAAAACAAGTTCCCTACAGTAAAACACATATAAATGGGTCACTGACTTTATTTATATCTGGTACAAATGTATGAAATGTCCTCCATATAATGTCACTGGCTCAATGCTCAGGTTAGATCCTAAATTTTATTTTTTAATGTACTGTAGAGCTGACAAAGTAATTAACACCTTTCTTTCCAAATAATACCATTTCCCCATGAACAATATACAACAGACTTTACAATATACAACAGACTACATTCTCTCAGATGCAACTCTCGTGCCTGTAATTCTGGAGCCTGCTGACAAAATATGAGGAGTACATTGTAGACAAATTTGTATTACATATGGCACATCACTACAGCGATGCAAATTTGGGAATGTTGCAATGTGCTTTCATTTACAGAGAGAGAGAGAAAAAAGTTTCAATTGTGTTAGGAAGGAACATCACATAACATAGCCTTCAGGTACAGGCATATGGAGGCATCAGGCATGAAATAATTTGCGTTGCTGTACATACTACATGCCACTACATATGAATTTAAAAGCATGGAGTACACTTCTAACCAATCAATAGTTTTTAATTATCTGATTATTATCTGATTATTATCTGAATTAAAGCATTTCTGTTTCCTTGAATCATACTTCCACCTGCCATATGCTTCAGTCAAAATAAAAGAATTAAATAAAACCTTAGTTATTCACAAGCACAGTAGGCCTACAGTATATAGGATACAAGTTAAACTTGTTTTCACTGGTAAGCTTTTCTTAATTGAAGCAATGAACATACACTTTTTTTTCTTTAATTAGATACTGTTCAGGGACTTTTAGCTTGAGACAGCTGTTCCAACATGTGCATGAATATTCAACACTCTTTATATGCAGGTAGCCAGGTACTGCAGTAAATATAAGTAAACAAATAATATGTTTTTGAAATAGAATTTCTAAAGACATACAAATTTGATTATTACATGTACATGTATAATACATGTATATGTGTAGCTGGAAGAAAACATGATTCAACTTTTGTCCTTGCATTTAATTCATTTCAGTGGTATAGGTATGCTAATTGTTATCTACATGTATACCATGGCTGATACATTTGACTGTGTGCTTACATGGAAATGTATTCAAAAAGTTAAAAGGCACTTGCCATGGAAGCCTAAAGACATGTCTTTAGGTTTTGTTAAGATTCCCTCCAAAATCATGTAAAGCAATATTTATCATCGTTCTTCAGGTTGAATAATTACTTGGTTAATTATGCCTCACTTGTGAACCAGAAGAGCATGAATATTGTTTACCATCATTCACCTTTTGGAAAATAGGAATTATTGGCTTGAATTCCCTCTCTTTCAAAAAAGGATTCACAAGAGGAAATGCGTAAACAATGGGATTTCATGGGTGAGTGGTTGGCAGGAAACAGATATGGATTTCATCTTACTTCGTCAGGAACTATTCATAACATGACCGATTAAGAACCTAGGTCTTAATCCTGGAGCGGTACTTGACATACTTCTTGGTGATGCAGCTTGAGGGTGTATCAAGTCGGCAACATGACAAACAATAGTCCTTGATTAGATGAAGGATCCATGTGTTGGGGGATTCACTTTCAATACACACCTGCAGGCTCATATCTTTTGTCACCTTTTGATTTGGGGTTGAAACCATAAAAACAACATGCTCCATACCTATAAGCAGATGAGCACATTCTGTAAGAGGATTGTCCCTAAGAACCAAGGATCAGTTACAAGTGTATTGTGCAGTTTGTTGACACGTAATGTCCGATGTAAAAGAGCAATACTAAATGCTTAAAAGGTCATTGGGGTCTAAAGAGAAATCATATGATATTCATACTTCAACCCACTTGAATCCTGTCATATGATGTAAAATCATACCAAATGATGCACTATTCAAAGTGTTCTAATATGCTGGATGTAAACAAAAAGACAGGTTTGATATTTATAATAACTCTCAAAATGTTTTAAGCGCATGTTATAGCTCAATGCAGAGAATATCAAACAACAGGCATCTCTTCCTGTCTACCTCACTAGTTTGAAGATACATGTATTCACACAAACTGCCTTGACACATATATAGATACACAGAAAATTTGAAAATCACGCCGGCCGAAAAGTCGCTCAGTGGGGGGGGGGGGGGGGGGGGGGGGGGGGGGGGGGGGGGGGGGGGGGGGGGGGGGGGGGGGGGGGGGGGGGGGGGGGGGGGGGGGGGGGGTCGGTCTTTTTTTTTTTTTTTTTTTTTGTTTTTTTTGGTAGTCTAAAAAAAAATCGCAACGACTCAGCCAACCGAAAATCGCTCAGTGGGGGGGGGGGGGTAAGGTCTCTTTACGTTTGCCGTGGGCATAATTTTTTTTAATTTTTTTTTTAATTTAATAAAAAAAAAATAATTAAAAAAAAAAAAAACAAAAAAACAAAGGGGGGGGGGGGGGTTTTAGTTTTTTTAGGGGGGTTTACACACATAAAAATACCAAAGGGGGCGTTGAACCCCCAAACCCCCCCCCCCCCCCCCCCCCCCTGCGTACGCCCCTGTAGATACATGAATTGTATTCTAATTCTTTAGAAATATTCAGCTTTACACTGTAGAATTTGATAGTCTCCAAACACTACTGAATATTTAAAGTGGATAACGATCAAAACCAACACTTTTTTTACACACCGTTCATGTATGAATTATTCACTCCTGCTTTTATTTAAATTATTTATTTCATGAGGGAGAAGTAGAAGTGGCAAGGCAATATGATTTTTTTTCAAATAAAATAATCTCTTAGGCCTACATTTTGTGAAACAATACATTGATGAAACAATTAAGTTCTGTTTCACATCCACTCTACTTGACATGACTACCCCCTAAATGGTTCATTCATTGCATGTGGGTGTCATTTTCGTAAACTAGAGTGAGTAGAATTTACTATTTGTTTCTCTCTAATACCGCCTGCAGAGAAATATGTGTCTCACTCAATTCTATCTGATTGTAAATTATGAAAAATGAAACCTTGAAAACATGTGTTGTATAGGCCTTTGGAGGTCAAGGCAGCTACTGGCTGTACAGCACAAGTGCAAGTTTACACCCTGGAAGAGTATGAAAGGCATACACAGCTGCGTTTATAGTGTGATTTCTCTTCACATACAGACTTTGGTGTGACTTGGTGTGACTGGTTATATGTGTCTACTTTATTTCAAGCAATACTGTACATTCAACCACCCTTTTCAGGGCTTACAGGTTAAGAATCATTAAGAACTGTTTAATCATTATTCATACTACAAGACTGAGACATTAATCATTTTTGAGCAACATTCATGTCTACAGGCCTATTATTCACAACAGATATTTTACAACATACAGGAACAGAAAAGCTGTCATAGAAACTCATATTTGCATCCAAAAAAACTTTATTTTTAAAGCTCTCAACTACATTTATGTAGTAGTCCTACTTCTGTTAGGATTTTTTGTCTATCTTTCTTTCTCTCTCTCTCTCTCTCTCTCTCTCTCTCTCTCTCTCTTTCTGTCCCGTTAGCACTATTTCACTACATGCATCTAAAAGACAATAAGAGAACACATAATATACATTCCATATTTTTAAGAAATATCCATGAGCACATGGACAGGAATAAATGAGTACTTACCCCATCTTCGTATCTGTCGAACATGGCCCCATTCTTAAGGGGTTCTGGAACATTGACTTGCCACTGAAATACATATTGCTTAGCCATGGTGGGCTAGCTACAGTGTCCCAATAACAAAGTCATTCATCAGCTCAAAGATGGGCATGAAAAGTCATTCGTAAAACAATGTCAATATACAAGGGATCTCTGTATCTCTCTCTCCAGACTTGGCAACGGTAAGAGAAAACGGGCTTGCTTGACGGACAGATTTGAAGCCTAAAATCCTGATGGTTATAGCTGCAGTTATCAAAAATAATAAAGCTGGAGAAATCCACTGTATATATCCAGGATAAATTGTATTTTGGAGGATGAGTGTGTCTTTGTGTAGACGCCTAAGCAACTGAAGGGTGTGTAGATTTGCCCTACATTGAAGTCACACACATCGTCTATTGCTGGTTCCGCCAAAAACAAGATGAGATGTCCAGAGTTTCACACAAACACACGCAGAGGCAGGCAAGGAGTCTGAGAGAGGTAGAGAGACAGAAAGCAGAAGCTGCGATCAATTTGTAATGCCGTCAACGCATAGGCTTCTCAGACGTCCCTTTTACCCTCACTGCTTCACCGTATGTCTCCCAAATGCCAAGTGTTAGCCTTTCTACGATGCTGTGCCGCTGCTGCCTTCACCAGTGCAGCCGTGTCAACCATGCAATACACCACTGCTATTTTCTCCTCCTTCTTTTACCCTTCTCCAGCGTTCACATAATTCATCAGCAAAGCTCATTTGCTATCTTCAGAAGGGTAGCGCTGATCAAAGTGGTGTGTGTGTATAAGTGTGTGTATGCGGTGTGTCTACTGTGCCAAGGCTCTGCCGTTTGGTAGAGAAATGCACACTCAGACATATACCGAGAGAAAAATGCTGCATTTAGCACCGTGGACTGTGGTGTGTGTGTGTGTGTGTGTATGTGAGTGTGTGCTCTGCTTTTAGCCGCTCTTCGATTCAGGGGTTCTCTTCATTTCAATCAGTCACTTTGGCCTGTAGCATAGCCCCTGTCCTCAGGTTCAGTACTCTAGCTGCATAGAGAGAAAACAAAAACAAAATTCATCATTTCTTTAGCTCAGCAAGTTGATTATTTCAGGGAGTTAAATGACAACAGTGTCGATGAAAGTTCTAGATGTAATTAAATTCCAGGTCTTGGCGTTTGGGACACTCGGTGATTGGGTGGGTGGGCAGAACACATAATATTGTGAAGGGAGTACATGTACGGGTGGAATATAAAATACATTATAAACTAGAATCACCTTAAAGGTAATATATATAATATATATGACATCTTTATATTTAAATAATGTATGGTTTATAGTTATTCATTTAATATTAATTGTAAAAAAATCTCGCAGTGCTTTTCTCAATGATATGAATCTGAAAGTTAAAGCAAACGGTGATTGCTTGGTGTGTATTGCAATTACTTACATGTACATCAATTCACAAGAGTTTTGGGATTATACAGTATTCAAATTGTAATGGCAATCTGACCTCTATGGCATCGGAATTAGATTATCACAATTTTTGTTTGTTGTGTTACTGTATTATACACACCATATCACAAAATACTGATGAAAAAAAAATTGATTTATAAGTCAAAGGGCAATCCACCTCTTGAAATAAGATCATTTGTATGAAAGCAGAAAAATAATACAAATAGAATGGTGAAACTATGAAATAAAGTGGACCAATAATATAATGAGAAAGTTACGAGTGTTTGAAATTGAAATATGAGGTCACTTAGTCCATGCAAATCTCAAATTGGCAGTTTGGTTAGTGGATTGTGACGTAGACGTTGATAACTCTCCCGTTTGTGGTGTATAAAAATATCTTTAATTTCTTCACCCCCCCCCCCTCCCAAGTGCCTTCTCCATTGGGGCACTACTGGTACTCAAAATATATATTATGCGTAGCATATTACTATACTGTACATGTAGGTCCTCTAAAATTAAAAGAGAAAAGAACCCTCCTGAGTCACACATTTTTGAAGAATTTACATTTTATTCATTTTGTGTGTTGGAGCGAATGTGAAAGTTGTTCACCACTACATCACAGAGATATGACAGATTAAGCCAATTTGAAGAGCCAATAGTGATTACAACTTTTTTTTTTTAATCATAATTTTCTCATTTTTTTTGCTCCGATTTCATTCAAACTTTCACCAGTCTAGATACATCTCTGATTCTTTCCTTTCCTCAAGAGTATTTTACTATCATGGTTGGATTTCCCTTTAATAAATAAGTCATCGGTACTCATCACAACATGATGGCAAATCATTTGGAGTTCAGTTCAATTTGATTGCACCCCTTTGCAAATAATGGATAAATTTCTGTTCATCATGCTAAATTTCTAAGTGACAATAACAACCATCACTCTTGCACTCATGTAATGTACATGTACCGGTATTCTTCTTTGCTTCCTCTACCCCCCCCCCCCCCCATCCCTCTCTCTTTCTCTCTCTTTCTCTCTCTCTCTCTCTCTCTTTCTCTGGTTTTCTTTCTTTCCCTCTCCATTCTTGTCTCCTTAATTGCTCTGTAGGACACAAGATTTGCACCAACGTGTTTACAAGTAACAAGAGAAATACTTTTCTTAACTGTTCATATATTTTTGATCTAATTTGTAAAGATTTGCCAATTCTTAGCAATGGGCAAACACAAGTGGGAAACGCTTCACTTTTTACATTCAAAAACATTAATCTGAATGTTATATCTTAAAGAATTTCAAAAATTTAATTTTGATATAAGCAAAGAAAGAAAAAACAATTTTACAAAATATGAAAGACTCACTTCAGAATATATTTATTTTGCTGGGCAAAAAAAGAAGATATTGGGAGGCAGTGTATCATGTCACATTAAGTATTCAATATATTCACTTCTGAACAAATATGTGGCATTTATCTTTTTATTCCTGCTCTTTATATATTAACTATAAATGAACATACAGTTATTGTAATTACTGCAGTCAATTTCTGTTTGGTTTACATCATATTTTACACATGTACCGGTATTGTATATCAAAACAAAAATGAAGATAATGGTAGACTTCAAGGAGGTATATAATCATTAGTCAGCTATCGCATAATTACAGTCAAATACAATAATTTAACAATAAAAAAACAAAATGTAAATCATGCTACTTACATTATAATTCTTGTTTGAACTTCCAATTTTAATTTCATTGTATAGGAATGCCCCCCTCCCTTCCCATTTTCTTGACATTTCCATCAAAAAACTAAATTTCATAGATGTAATAAGAAATCTGAGGTCATAGACTTGTTAAATTGGGAAAATGAAATTGGAGGATAAAGAAACTTGAAATGGGGCTGTCCCGTATAGGCGGTGACAGCAGAAGGTCACGGCCTCTGGGGAATGGTAAACTCATTAACTTCTAAAACCTACAATACAGCCGAGGACAAAACAGACTTCATCATCATATACCAGACATTCTTTTCCTCTTTTTACATTTTCATTCTGATAGCCTTTATGTTATGGATTGGAATTAACTGCATAACATGATCTAAATGAGTTATTTGTAATCAAATCAAAATATTGAGCCAAATACAATGACAAATTTTAGGTGTACATACATGTACATGTATATGTATGTCTTTATCTAAAGGGGGTGTATGCTGAGTTCTATATGGTCGTTTCTCAATTGTACAAAAATGGAATGCTGTAAACCAAATAAACATTCAGAAAATAATATCATGACATCACATAATGATTTCATTAAATAAGAACATCAATAAAATTAGATATGGACGTTTATAAATGCAAAACAAATTACACAGATCACTTCATTAATCCGTAAATATCAAATACTGTTTGTGACTTGGATAGACAGTTTCTAACTATGGTACCATACGTCGCATGCATGAAATTAGCGACCGTAATGATCATCCTCAATTCATAATGTGAATTACTTGCAAGAATTTAAAGGGGATCTGAGATTAAGGTCTCTAACTTCAAGCATGCGCACGCACCGCCCGAAACCCATCGTCGGTATGTGCAGTGGTTTGCCGTGAAACCTGTGGGAAAGTGTCTACTAATATCTTTGTCTTTAGGGGAAGAAAAAAATTGACATAAAACAGGTAAGAAAGATAACAACTTTTAAATCATGGCCGTTTGTTGAGCAATTGTGGAAGGATTATATGATTTTTGGTGTGTTATTAGTAAGGTATCTCCACGCCAAAGTTAGGATTCCAAAGTATGGTCACATCACAGATGTGAACAAGCGTCGACAAACCAAGGGGAACATTTTCAATGGATTCAGGCAAAAATCTCTAGACTAGTAATAGTCTATACTCCACCCCACCCCCCCCCCTTGTGAATTGTGGTGTCATCTGTGTATGAAGAAGGTTGACAAATGTCAGTTTTATTAAAGAATTTCCCATACCAGACGGTTATTTCTGTCTAAATGAAGGAGCTCCAGCACTCCAGCATTCACACCATTTTTGTTATGTCATTCAAAATTCAATGTTGGCCTTGCCTTGGGTGGACCGAAATGATACATTCTCAGCTCAGAAGTTGCACGATCTAGCACTAGCATGTGCCGAATTGTGCTGTCATGACATAGATACCAAGTCCTCTGTTCAAGAACTGAGCAACATAAGCAGTCCTTCTTTCCCAGGACTGTGAGGAGTTGGAATAACCTGCCATCAGAAACAGTAATCAGTATGTGCCTCATCCGTCAATGCCTGACGGGAGGCAGCAACTACATGTAAGTCCGGGAACTTTTTACTTGCACCATGTTAATAGCATTGCAGTTTGCACCATGTTAATAGCATTGCAGTTTGCACCTAACTCCAGGAAGCTCTATTGCACCATGCACCTTGCACCTTGCTCTCGTAAGCACACACTCCGCCCCCCCCCCCCCCACTCAGTGTTATTTAGGGTACGCATATGCTTGTTCCCTCTTTTTGAAAGCACCCCCTATCTGAGGACTGCCAACATTTCCAAACCCCCTTTCGCGGGCTTTTCACAGGCTTTTCCTGCCTTGGAGACCCCCTAAATCATGAAAAATGCTCAATGTACCCCCCCTAAATTCGGAACAGTTTCACAGGAGTCCAAAGAGATGAGAGAAAAAAAGAAAAAACACCCCCTTTTTAAAGAAATCTCCGGGTGAAAAGTTAATACACCCCTTTTTTTACAATTCTCGGGCCGGACTTTGTCGCACGAAAAGTACCCCTTTAGATCTAGACCCTACCGGACATTTTGGTAACACGCATGGGGTCCGTCTGTTCTTGGAGTGGGCCGGAACATGCACACACACTCATCAGTCTGCAAGAATCTTCAACTCAACTGTGAAGGAGGTAGACTTAACCCAAAGAAGAAGAAGAAGAATGAGGTCTATTTCTGATCTATACAGGCTATACTAGGCCTAGCTATATTATACTTAGATCTATGCTACAGTAGAGTCAACGAGAGGCTCCCACTCCCTACACGTACTGGCTTGCACTGCACCGGCCTGCACCGGCCTGCACTCCACATACCTTACGGTACTACAAGTACAACAAGGGTAACTTGCAGACTACAGTATTTGGGCGCGGGCGTAGATCTAGAATTTAGGTTAAAAACTAAGGTTAGAATTTAGAGTAAGACCCTAGTCACAACCAATCCATATAAACATATAATATCATTGACAGGGTACAGACATAGTAGAAAAGGCATGCTTGCTATAATTATTTTCACAAAATTACGGTCAAGAATTAGCAAAACATCAACACTTACCATACCAAGGAAGGACTTCTTGAATGAAAACATTGCCATGCATGCGAGATGGCCTCCAATGTTGCCTCGATATATTATGGATATCGGTGAATATTTGTGTGTGTGTGCATTATACACCTGCGGTACGTGCTTGTGTGTATGAGTTCGCTCAAGTCACAGGGCCGGGGAGATCGATGCTTGCGAGCAGCTGATGTGCATGTAACGGTATTTTGTATACAGCATTACGTAATAAATCGCCGAGACATGACTGCATACCGGTACTCAGGGGCGGATCTAGCTTTTTGCTCAGGGGGGGTTGACCAATAATGACGATGCGGAGCATCGTCCACGAGCCGCGAAGCGGCGAGCCGATTTTTTGGGGGTGTTTATTTGAACCCCGTAAGTGATGTTTTCCTGGCATCTATTAACACAATGGAGACCATAAAAAGCAGTGCATGATAACGTCTTTTTAAACCAAGTAACAGTTAAATACACAGTTGTATCCAGAGTTATCATGTGTTTGGTTAAGTTACCAGATGAGTTGAATATCTTCTCACAATATTTGCACTTGAAAGGGTTTCTCTCCAGCGTGCGTTCTTTTTTCTTTCTTTTTTTCTTTTTTTTTTCTTCTTTTTTTTTTTCCTTTTTTTTTTTTTTTTTTTTTTTAATGTGGGGATTTTGGGGATGAGAATCGGCAACGCTGGCCTAGCTTGTCACTTCGGCGGTGGCCCGTGTCCTCAAAAAAGCTGATGGGGGGGGCAAGGGACTCTGTGACATTTGTTCGCCCAACCCCCCCCCCCCCCCCCCTCCCCCCAAAAGAAATAATAATAATAATAATAATAATAATAATAATAATAATAATAATAAATGAAATAAATACATAGAATAGAATAAAATAAAATTACAAGTTTAAAAAAAAGATAAGATTTAAAAAATGGTCCCCAGATTTTTTTTTGGGGGGGGGTTGCAACCCCCCAACCCCCCCTCTAGATCCGCCACTGGTACTCCTCAGCCCCCTCCCTTCTTCTTTTCTGAAACCATTTGATAAAACTGCTCTAGCCTCCACGCATCTTATAAAAAATATAATTGTCGATAATTAATGTCGATAACTGCGAAGTTTGAAACTATTTTCTATTATTCAGTTATGACAGAAATGATAACATGTAGGCCTACTGAGTCTAATTAAATTCTTTCATTTAGACCCTAGCTTATGAAAACCCGATTACAAAAACACGTTTTATTTAGCTTATTAACGTTACAGGCCATACACTATGATTAAAGGTGAGAGGACTTTAGTGACAATTCTAATTTGTTGCAACTCGTCATTTTCAACGCTTAGGCTCCTGAACAGAAAAAGGCTAAAAACGTAAACCACAATTATTACTTATAGTTGTGGTTGTAAAATTGATTTTCTCACTATTTTAATTTGCTACCAGTATTTAGTTCTAAAAGTGAGGTATTATGTTTATTGTTCAGACCAGGGGGGGGGGTAGGGGGTGGGGGTTTCCGAAAATAAAACTTTAAAATCAGTACCTTTTTTTTTTCCAAATTTGTGGATGCACCGGTTGCACCGATTGCAAAATTTTACTCATTTCGCTACCGAAGTTGGTGCCTGAGTAATTTTTCATGTTGTCCGTCCTTCCCGCTTTCTCGTTATTGATATCTCAAGAACCATTTGAGGTATGAATTTCAAACTTAGTTTTAGTATGTATCAGCATAAGTTTTCGGGTAAGTAGTTCAAAGGTCATACAGGTCATCAGTTCCATTTAATTCTTAATTTTTAGCCCCCTTTTCACGATATCACAAGAAAACTTGATATATTCTAGAATGAATTACCATTAGAGACACAATCGCATTTGTCTTGCTTTTTATTTTAGGAGCTACGCATAGAGCGACTACTATTTACTAGTACATTAATATATTATTTATGGTGGATGGACATCACATCCCGAGTTCAACCGTTTAGGGCAAATATCAGCATTGGGTGGATATAATGTATTATTTGTCGTTCATGCTTATTTTTACCTTCATTTTTATATTTGTTCCAGAATTATTTAGACTCTGATTACCAGTTTGATATAGTTTTATAGTGGCCGCATCTAAAACGTGAAAAAATATCCCACTTATCTCATTACTCTCTTTAAAAAAAAGAGTGAATTTTCACTCTATTTTCACTTTCTTGGGAGTGACGTCCGTGATATGTCTTGTTTAGGAGTGAAAATCGATTGATTTTAGAGTGCTCTCTAAGAAGAAAAGAGTGAATGTTCACTCTATCACTCTCCAGAGGAGTGACGTCCGTCACTCGATTTTTTTAGAGAGTACATCACTATCTAGATTCTAGACAATAAATTAAGAAAACGTCCAGTTATCAACTTTTAATGTGCCGATAAGTTCGACTATATAATAAATCTAAAGGCAATTATAATGTTATATTCGGGTCTCTTGTTTCAAGAAAAGCTAGCAATATTATTGTAAACTTAACATCGTGTCCTTTCAGCCTAAATTCCAGATTAATTAGTCATCTTTTCTTCAGTTATAAGGTCCTCATGTTCGACAATTTGGCGAATTTTATGAAGTCCCAAGAAAAAAGGGCCGTACTCTCCCTTTATATAGCTGTAATAACAGGGGCGGATCCACGTAGCGATTATTCCGGCCCGCCCGCCCCCCCCCCCCTAGCCCCCCAAAACGATAAAAAAAAATAGGATAATAACGTAAAGTTAACCTTTATAAAACAAAAAACAAAAGCGCCCCCCCCCCCGCCCGCTTATTCGCCGGCCGGCTGAGTCGGCACTAAATTTTGTATTAAGATTTGGCTACCCCCCCCCCCCTTGAAGCCGCCTGGATCCTCTGCAGGCGCGGATCCACGGGGGGGGGGGCTGACGGGTCAACAACAAAAGATTTTTTTTTTTTTTAATCTCACGAATTAGGTGAAAAAACAAAAATAGTGGTCTCACGCCCCCCCCCCCCCCCCCCGCTTATTCACCGGTGGCTGAGTCGCAACTAATATTTTCTCACGGATTGCCCCCCCCCCCCCCCCCTCTCTTCCCGCCGGCTGGATCCGCCACTTTGAATAATGAAGATGATTTATCATCAAGGGAAACCATTATGTGAAAAATAATTTATTCATCTATTGACATTTTACAAGTATGATATTTGGTAGACTTTCCGACATGTCCGAACAGTAATTTTGTACCGTGAAAAAAGTCGAAGTAGTTTAGCGCCATCTACAAACTCTAATCAAAAAATGTTTCCCTCTTTTATTTCCCTCCTGCGTAATATCTATATTCATCTACAAATAAGATATTTTGTCTATATAATATAGCCAGTCTCGTACGGTTGTCGGTCTCGTGCAGCTGTCGGTCTCACAGATCGTCGGTCTCACGGACCTACTGAATCTTTCTTCTTTAATAGAATTTTAAATTGTCATTCATAGGTGTGTTTTTTTTTCGTCGGCTGTTCTACTAAGAAGACAAAAGTAGAGGTATATAGGGTGATAGTCGTATCAGGACAATTACCCGCCGGAAAATTTCCACCAAGAACATTTATGATCCCCTGTTGACAATAACACCCCGTGGACAATTACCCCCAGCCCTGAAAATAACCCCCGAGTACAATTACCCCCCCCCCCCCCCCCTATATAAAACGCTGTATCATCAGCTCAATCTGACTTGCGTGCATAGAGCAAATAAACAGTTTTACATGAAAAAGTAAAGTTTTCTAAAAAGTGCGTTTCTTTCTAGCATTGGGGTACCCGCGGGAGTCACTTGGTCAACCTTTCAAAAAAGTATAATGTAAATAAATAATAAGTTACATAGTTATACTTGAGGGAATGTGGAGGAGAGATAGGGGAAACGAGATGAGAGAGGGGAGGGAAACAAAAGAGACAGGGGGATAGGGGACTCAGGACTATAGTCATGCTACCAGAAATAGAAATAGAAATAACCACATGAGCTGGACAGAGGGATAAAAGAGAATCAGAATGCATGCGCTTGGAAGGAGAGAGGATAGTTAGGAAACACGGTAGGGGTGAAATAAGAATATAAAGGGAGAATGGAAGAGCTAGAGAAATTTAAGGAACATCCGAATACATAAAAGAGGGAGAACGAGAGCCAAAGGCGGGAAAGGGAGAGAGTAGAGAAAGAGAAGGAAATGGGGCAGAACAAGAGAGGGGAAGGGAAATAGAGCAAGAGAAACGAGAGAGACCCGAACATTGCAAACAATATCAGTCGTTGTCACGCCTTATCCATTTTGGACAGTTTGAATTTTTAGATTTGGTTGAAATCACTGTAGATACTATTGCATGTCAATACATTTCCTTCAATATTATGGGTTTTGCAATGCTATTTCGGGCCGGTTTTTAAATAAGAAAAGAGCGTAGTTGGTGGAACCTATACATGTATTATACAAGTCAGAAAGCATTACTTCTAATTTTAAAAATAGAATTTACCAGTGGTTCTTAAAACATCATGTGACAAAATGTGACAGCCTCACCAAATGGAAACAGGGTTTACATCTAAAAGATAAAGATTGGTTTTCGTATTGTCTGATTCCCTATCAGTCAACTGTTGATATAAAATAATATGCAGTGGTTCCAGTTTAAGATTTTAAACAGAATGCTTTATACATGGAAGATTCATTGCTGAAATTCCAAATAGTTGCTGATGAAAATTGTACATTTTGTAACAGCAGTGAAGAGACATTATTATGCATATTTTTTGTTACTGCCCATATTCAAATATAATATGGTCCAAATCCCGAGACCAACCGGGCCATGCAAGAAGGTTATAACAACGCTTTTAATAGTATCTTAATTAATGGAAGAAAAGAAATCTATTTAGCCAAATGCAAAAAGATGCCACCGTTTAAAAAAAAGTTATGTTAGCTGTTAAAACTCATGATATGGAAGATATATAGCAACAAAAATCTTAAAGAAAATAATTTCGTGAAAAAATGTTGTAATTTTCCAAAATGTTCAGTTTGCTTGTTTATTTATATGTTATAGAATTGGTGTACAAAATGATATTTTGTCAAGTTCAACATCTTATGTCGCTGTGCGGCCAAGGTTATTTTGTAATATTTTAGTGTTTGAACATTAATGACAAG